CTGTACCCCGCAGGGATGACGTGTGGGGAGGCGGAGAGACTATTAAAAGATTAGGCGGTTTTTCTTTCATGTACGTCCACCATTTTTAGGTCACTGGCTTTGTAAAGCCTGGCTTAATTCGTTGAGAATGCGCTCTTACTGTAATTTTGAATTCAGCAAGAGAGGATTTCAACAATGCAGATTTCTGCCAAGGCAAAATGTAAACAATAAATAATATAAAATGAAATTTAAAAAAAACCTCTGAAATTTTAGGAGACCAGGGTTCTATTGAAATTATAATCACTTCATTTCATCAAAATTTTCAAAGAACTTTTTGAGATGCATTGTCCACAACTAAAGAAACCAATTTCAACTAAAGCCTAGCCTCCTTTGTTGGCAGAGAAAATTGTCTTTAGATTAAGATATCTCTGGTGGATGTAGGCTTTTAAAAAGGGTGCAGAGGACAAGGGCAAGGTGGGGCAGGGTAAATCTGAATTACATCTTCATTTTTTTTGGACTGTTTTAATTACATGTTAAAATATTTTTTGGAAAATTATCATATAAGGGTAAGGGGCATTGACCATACTGCCATGCTGCATAAATATTCCTATGTATTTGTTTCATATTTCATTCTTTTTTGTTTCTTTCATTTGTTTCTTATATCCACGTTTCACAGAGGTGATCATTTTTATTTGNAGGCGGAGAGACTATTAAAAGATTAGGCGGTTTTTCTTTCATGTACGTCCACCATTTTTAGGTCACTGGCTTTGTAAAGCCTGGCTTAATTCGTTGAGAATGCGCTCTTACTGTAATTTTGAATTCAGCAAGAGAGGATTTCAACAATGCAGATTTCTGCCAAGGCAAAATGTAAACAATAAATAATATAAAATGAAATTTAAAAAAAACCTCTGAAATTTTAGGAGACCAGGGTTCTATTGAAATTATAATCACTTCATTTCATCAAAATTTTCAAAGAACTTTTTGAGATGCATTGTCCACAACTAAAGAAACCAATTTCAACTAAAGCCTAGCCTCCTTTGTTGGCAGAGAAAATTGTCTTTAGATTAAGATATCTCTGGTGGATGTAGGCTTTTAAAAAGGGTGCAGAGGACAAGGGCAAGGTGGGGCAGGGTAAATCTGAATTACATCTTCATTTTTTTTGGACTGTTTTAATTACATGTTAAAATATTTTTTGGAAAATTATCATATAAGGGTAAGGGGCATTGACCATACTGCCATGCTGCATAAATATTCCTATGTATTTGTTTCATATTTCATTCTTTTTTGTTTCTTTCATTTGTTTCTTATATCCACGTTTCACAGAGGTGATCATTTTTATTTGTAGGACCATGCGTGATAAGTTGCTGATTGCTCTGTCTGCTGATAAAGCTGCTGGAGGACCATTTCAGAGATACCTGGAAAAGTAAGGGGATTTATATAACAAAAATTGTTGAAAAATTTTAACTTATAAGATTTCAGGATTTATTATATTTACTTCTGTATATTTAAACTTCTTAAAGTGTTTTTTACACATGTAAAGTTTGTTTTACTTATCTGGATCAGTATGTACAAATTTGTAAATTTACATTTTTAGCATATGTTAGCTCAAAATTGTTGATTTGCCTCTTGGAAAAGGCAGACTTAATTTATTTTTCTTAATAAGAACTGCCTTAGAACTTTGACTTTGCCATTGTTGTTCAAAGAATCAGCAAATTTGCTATAATTCATTGCTTCAGTTATCAGTGTATTTTCAGTGTATTTTAAAATCATTTCTTTATTTTATTTACTTTATCTTATTTACTTTACCTTAAATTTGTAGACAACAGAACCCAGAATTACTTGCCAACCATTTATTCTGGCAAGATGTGTCAGAGTACAGTGCTGAGGAAGATAGATCTGCTGATCGTCTGCTTCGGATGACTCATGCCTGGGGAATATACAACAAATATATTGGAGGAAATGTTATTTATAGTATAAGTAAGTATGATATATTTCCTAGACAGATTGTGTAAATGTATGCAGTTACTGTGGATATTTATACTTTGAAGGTAAGTCTGTGCTATTTGGATAAATGCAGTTTATGTTGTGCTTGATTTTTATCATGAGTTCATTTATCTTTTAAAGATTTGAATTTTTTAATGTCACACAGCTGTCTCATTTCCATAATAATAAAAGTACAGTAACCCTAAAATGACTTACTTGTTAACTGAAAGCTTCAGCTATTTTGCATTATTATAATAAGGAATCAAAGAAATGTGACCATTTTCACCATGTTATCAGATTTTGCAAAAGAATATTTCTTAGGCCAAATTAAAATACAGGATTGCATAATCAGATAGTGAATCTTTTTGAAACATTTTATCATTTGCATTTCAGACATGGATCCCAAAGAAAGAGATGTGCTTCATCAGCAGTTAATGGGCGCCAAAGATTTCATAGAAGCTTCAGTGTTCAACAGTGCTCAAGACCATGCTGTCGATGTGCTAGAACAGGCCTGGGTGAGGTACCTGAAGGAGGATCTCAAAACTTTTTTAGAGTGAGTGTAGCTAATAATATTTTATTGAAAATACCTTTCATTGAATTGGATACTGATTGAATTTACTGTAGTGAACTCTAAAGGAATCTTTTTTTCACAATTGCTCTGCAGATAAAATGTACTGTCCACCAAAGAGCAGTTTTTACAACTACAGGGTTTGTATGGTGCATCATGCTTTGCTATTAGAATTATGAAGGTGGTGACCTTATGCTACTCTGCGCAACAACTTTGCACATTAATGTCTTTTTGTTGCACATTGTGTCAGCAGCTAGTGCTGGTGATCTAACAGTTTAGTTTCATCTTAAAATAAGTTGCCCTAGCAACACAATTTGCTTGGGTAACTATTCTTTTTTTCTAATCTATGTCTGCCATATGTACTGAAGACCATGTGTAGGAGACATGGACTATGAATGTACTTCATCTGTGAAGAGAATTAAAAATATATGCAAAAAAAAAAACATTAAATTTCCCATGTGATTATATAGTCATTGAATTCAAAGTTCAAATCGCCATAGCAACACAACTAACATGGATACCTATCAATTTTTTAAATCTAAATATAGATGCAACAATGTCAACTATGCATGTAAAAAAAATTAAGAAAAATATGTCACAAAGAAATATAATAAAGACATTACCTTAACAGAAAATGAAAATATTCAGCATCAGTTTTCAATGTCAAATATGAATTTTTTTCCTGATTATTTATTTCCAGAGTTCAAGCACGCTCTCAAGAATCAGACTTTGATTCCATACACACAGCTGAGGAGATAGAGGTCTCACTTGAAAATGAACAGTTAGTTGTCAAGAGGTTCCAGAGGCCTTGGGTTAGGAGGTAAGTTCTTCTTCACTCATTGATCAAGACCAGCTGCTAATGGCTATAAGGCTATCAGAAAAATGTTTCAGTTCGTTTTCAGATTGTGAACTGAAAACTGAGAACTTCTCTATATTAAGGAAAAATACATGCATGTCTACACAAATGTTCATACATGTAGTTCTTACTCCAAATATTATAAAGGTTGCTACTGTCATTGCTAATTGAGTTATGTCTAGATGTTAACTATTATATCATATTACCAACAATACTAGTCACACGATAATACTGTTCTTGTGGCCTTATCAGAAAACTAATATATTAGCTGAACATTCTTATGATATTGATTAATTATTACTCTTGTATGGCAGATATATTGTATACTAGCTTCTGTCCTATATAGGTTTGCCTCTTAACCATGTAATAAGTTTCATGCATGAGGTGTGTGGTTGGTAGTTAAAAAGATCATAAAAACAATTGGCAACTAAGTAATTATATAATTAGAAATAGATATTATAAAACCTAATTGCATGCTAATATATTATTTAAAATGCATACTAAATGAGGACTAGAATTTCTGTCTCAATGCTTTTATTTATTTATTTATTTATTTATTTATTTATTTATTTATTTATTTTGGAGTCAACAATCTTTATGGAAAAATAGATTTGTTGAGACAGTGAATTTGGTCCACTGCTTTAAAAGACTATTAATGTCCTCTTTCCTGTTGCTTTCATTTGACCAGAGGAGAGAATGGGAGCAGGTATCAGTATGGTTTTGAACATAATTTATTTATCTTTCTGTATTCTTTTTTCCCTCTGCACTCTTTCACTGATAATTTGATGAACGATTTGACAAGAAATGAGTCTTCAGTTTCCAGCACCTTATCTTTATGTACTCATGAATGTTTCTTTAATTTAAGATCATGCACGCACAATATATTAAGTTACAGATGTATTGTATGTTTCACATGGAAAGTTGAATCATGAAAGTGTTTTTGTTTTTTTTTGTAATGATTTCTTTTAAACTCCCCTCCACATATAAAAGGGATTTTTCACAGAAATTGTGTTATCTGTCCATCCATCTTTGACAAACTTACCTGGTCAACTCATACTAACAGTAATCAAGAAGCATGAAACCTTGCACATGTAAAGACCTTTGAATGACAGTGTGAACCTGCATATTTTTTTATATAATGACAAATATTCAAGAAAATTAAATGGCACATAGATCTCATATTGTGATGACATAATGTTGTCCAGACAACTTTTCGCACAGTGTTTATTAATTCAAGACTTCTGATATTAATATGAGGCTTCAGGCTGTGCACTACATGTGTATGTGTTTTTTTTTTTTTTTTGTTTTTTTTTTCTTATTTAACTTAATTATCATTTTCCTAGTATATTCCATTTAAAAATAAAATTGATATTTATGCATTTTTTTTTTTTTTGTTATTTTGTGATCCAGAAAAAAGCCCCCAAACATAAGGATGTTGCCATAAAATTTTTATCGTCCTTGTTTAACCTGTCGGTTCCAACTAAGTAGTACCATTAACAGGAGAGGTTTTGGTCACCTCCAGTGATAACCCTACAATTTCTTTTTCTACATTTTTAAATGCACTGCAATTATATTCAATTTGTTTATGCTGGGTTTTTGTTTTGTGTGCATGTGTAACTTTCATTTGATTGCACAGTGATTGTACATGAAAATTATGCCTTCATTCTTTTATCACGTCCTCTGTAGCTTCAGTGAGTTGTATTCCATTTAATTCATGTAACTTAGGAATATATTTTCTTGTGGGCATTTATTCTTTTAAAATTATTTCACATTATAATGATTTGTTTAGAGATTGAGTGGTTGAATAGACAGCAAATTATTCAAATTATTTAGAGTTTATTTAGAAGACATGAATTTGCTGTCTAAACAGTTAGAAAATGCTTGGAAGATTTACAAAGCTTGTGATCAGTCATTTAAAGCAGGGCTTTATTCCTGAGGTCCCATTCTACAAAAAATGAAAATTGTTGGATAATTCTTTGACTGAAGTTCATTAAATTTCCTTTACATTTAGATCACCTGGCTCTACTGGCTCAGAACGTGGTAGACGGCTAAGAACAGCTCTCTCAGTAGCTGAGGAAATAGATGAAGCCAGAAAGGCAGAAAAGAAGAAAAAAGCTTTAGAAAGAAGGAAAAAAATGGAAAAAGAGCGTCGCAAAGCACTACGTGCAGCACGGGCAAGGCAAAGAGAGGCTAAGAGAAACAAAAATGCACCAATCATTGAGCACATCCCAGTATGAAATTATTTTTTAAATGATTTTTACTTTTGGTATTTAGATTTAATTTATGTATATTAAATCACATTGTATTGGGTGATAGTACATATCTGACAGATAAACAGCTTTTTTTCTACATCACAGAAAACTTTTAAAGATATTATTAAGATTGAATACTTTTAAAAATTCATGAGTGTAGTGTACTAAATTTAATCTGTGCCAAAAACTTTTTAGGCTACAAAAGCCCCTTTGGCAGTCACGGTATAAAAGTATGCTATATAAATTTTTTTTTTCTAATAACCTTGTGCCTCTTTTGTTGGGCAATCACCTCAGGCAAGTGCTTAGTGTTACAGACTGTGATTTTGATATATTTTATGAAAAAATTATACAGGAAGAGAAAAAGGAGGGTGAAGAAGAAGAGGATCAGGGTGAAAGATTGTCTCCAGGGGGCCACTCTTTGTATGGAGATATGGGGGGTGGAGGATTGACCCCTCCCCCTGTCCTAGAAGACAAACCTGTAGAACTCAAGGATATGGTCGGAAATAAGCAGTATGTTGAAAACATTTTTTTTTTTTAATTATGATATTTTAAATCTTTCTTCATTGATTATGGCTTCATATATTTTTTTATGTATTTTGTGAAAATAATGGCAGATTTTCTTAGTTTTAAAATAACAATGTTTTAAACAAATAGTCAGTGTTCTGGTGATAGTGTTAAAATAAAGTCATATATTAGACTAAAGATGATTGACGTGAAGACATTTTGACAAACCTTTAACATACAGAGTATTTTGGACTATTTTCAAGCTCTTTCTATATTCAGGATAATCAATATGTTCAAGAAACACATCCAGGAAAGCGAACCAAAAGAAAAACTGAATATGTTAAATCTATACTTGGACATAGACTCTTTCCTGGCAATTGAAGGAGGGAGCAAAAAGAAGAAGGATGTTCAAGCTTCATATATTTTTAAGTATGTATTTTTAACTTTCATGTTATAGTAGTTAAAATATGCTTTCAGGTTTTTCATCATGTATGGCATCTGATTTCATACCCAAAGTTCTAGTTGATGTTTTGATATTTAAAATCTCACTGATGTTAGAAAAAAATGGGTGAGTTGTGAGTTTAAGAATTTGAAAATGAGGCAGACATTAGGAGTTAACAGTCAAAAAATAATGAAAGTTTGCCAAAATTTTAAGTGTCTCAAGACTTAAAAGAAAGTTGATGTCATAAACATGTTCAATGTCTACGAATTTTCACTTCTAGGAATTATCTTGAGCAAGGTCATGCTAGAAAATTTGTGAAGATATCTGACTCTGCCTATGCCAAAGTGTCCAAGGAAAAGGAAAGGCCAAAGACTCCCACAATCAAGGAAATCAGAGATTCTTTGTATCCAAACATTGATGCAACTTTTAAAGAATTTTGGCAGGTAAACAGAAGCATGCACACATATGCCTGTGCTTTAATGTCTTAAGATTTATTTAATAAAAAAGTTAAATAATGGCAGTATTTTCGTGATTTTGTAAAATTTTGTTATTTTGTCTTTTGCAATACCTACAAATTTACGTATTACTTATATACAATAATTAATACAAGAATTACTTAATAATATACGATAAACCTTACTACTCAAGAAATTTAGAAAACTAGATTTCTTTGAAAACTAGTTTCATAATTTTATTCAGAAAAATGAAAGCACAGGCACAGATCTGAAAAACCTGAACTCCATGTCAAAGGCAGAGCTAGCCATGAGGTCTGACAGTGACTTGCAGTTCACTTGGAAATCGAAAAAAGGAAAACAAAAGGTAATAAATTACCAATAATATTTGCTATTTGTGTCTTTATTATTATTATTATTATTATTATTATAAATTGCTTCTTAGGTTAACTGTTTGATTAAGGATCAAAACGTCATCCCTCTTAGGTGAAAAAACATAATTGGTCTCTTTAAATAGGATTGAATTTTTTATCATTAAATATTCTTATCACTTTAATGCTATGGAACAGAAGCAGTTTTACTAGGAGTTTTGAAAAGCAATTCAGATTTCAATTTTATTTGTAAATGATACAGTGGATGAAGGCAATATAGAAATACTTATGGTGATTATGAAGTTTTCCACTGTTATTATGTACAGACACAGATGTGTCTGTACATATAGCCATCATCTGTGTCTGTCGTCGCCGTCGTCGCTGTCGTCGCCGTCGTCGCCGTCGCCGTGCACTTTTACCGATAACACGATAAGTGGAAAACCATTTTACCTTTTGAATTGAAACTTGCAGAACTGATGAATATTCATAATACGCAGGTCAAGTTCGAAAATCAGCATGATCGGGTCACTTTTAGGGAATTTATGCTGTTTTTTCACTTTTTTCAGCATATATGCAGCACCGATAACACGATAAGTGGAAAACCATTTTACCTTTTGACTTGAAACTTACNTCGTGGGTTTGGGGTCAATCGGTGCATTTTCACGGGAGAAGCAGTCATTTGATGCCGAAACTAAAAACTCTGTAATTGTGGAACTGTTTACACTAGAGACGTCTTGTTTTTTGCATGAAGTACAGCTTGTCAAGCACAATACTGGAGGTGGTGTCCATTTTCTTATTTTCCATACGGTTTAGGAGTTGCACTTTATTAAATAGTACAACAATGCAATATTCAGTAGTTAACATAAAATGAAAAAATACTCCCAAAATTAGCAGAGATACACCCATAGCATTTGAATAGGAAGTCATTAACTAGCAATCTAACTGTGACCTTGATATTGACCTTTGACCTACTTTTCATGATGAACTTCACTTTGCAAGTTTTCTGGTCCTTATATCATCAAAACTAGCAGAGATACACCCATAGTTACCATTGAACTTGAATAGGAAGTGATATACTGACAATCTTAGAGCACATTCCCATAGATTAAGATCGATCTTACTTGATCGACCTAACTCCCTGCAGTTAGCCGACCACACACAGAATTTAATTATCCCCTTACAGCTTTTAGTAGGCAGGACAGGCACTTAAGCCAGCTAAGCTGACAGTAATCTAGTGAGACTCCCCATGGGGATAGATCGATCTAAAATCTGTGGAAATGGGGTCTTACTGTAACTTTGAAATTAGCCTTTGACCTTCAAATTGATCTGTGACCTACTTTTCATAATGAACTGCACTAAAAAAAATTCCCTCCCTTATATCTCTAAAACTGGCAATAGTTGCTATTGATCTTGCATAGAAAGTCATATACTGGGAAACTTTTACTTTGAAATTGACCTTTGACCTATTTTTCACCATGAACTGTAGTTTGCAAATTTTCCTACCCTTATAAAATATACTGACAGAGAAATGCCCATAGTTACTATTAAACTTAACCCAAATATAAACAAACTTTGAAATATTGTTTCCATTACAGTTAGAGAGGAAGTCCTACATTCACAATGATACTACATCCTTGTATTTGACCTTTTACTTTTTCCCACCTGATTTAAAAATATAATAATTATCTATAAAAAATGATAACCCTTGTTTACTGCATTTCATGCAGCTTGTCAACCCCTCCCCCTTCTTTTTCCTTCCCATTCGAATGTGCTTACTCCAGCTGGTGGTACAATACCAGGAGGCGGTATCGCCTCTCTGATCCTCTAGTTATCATTTATTTGTCTATTTATTTGTCTTTCCATCAATATTGATATATTTAGTTCACTTTTGGATGTTTTCATTAAGATGATGGTAGATAAAAAGGGTGATTGTGGAGAACATTTGAAAAGTCTGTCTTTTAAGAAATATGACAGACTCAGGACCTGATATACAACTTGCTCCATTTTTTTCATTATCCTCAATGATGTTTTTTTTTCATAATAAGACTACTTTCATGGAGATTAATCAGAGAGAGGTCCAACTGTTCTCATGGTTATTAATTCATGATATTAATTATTTTTGACATCTTAATTACAATTTTGTTGTCTGTGAATGCAGTCTAAAACTTATTAGAAATGTTGGTGACAGTTTATGACATATTAGGGTGAGGGCAATTAGGTGTATATATTCTGTTGTTAGAATGAAGCATATAATTATACTATATATAAACATTGAGAATTATGGTTTCACTTACAGCAGTTACTTAGAACATTCAAGCATCTCCTCCTATTTTATTTGTCTAGTTACTCATGAATTTTTTTTACAAAAAACCAACTAACCTATCAAAACTTTTGAACCAACATTAAATATGACTCACAAAATATTGTATTGGAAATGCATTCATTGATTTAGTTCGAATTCAATTAGCAATTATTGTATCAATTTTTTAAAAATATGTTTGTTTATCTAGAGCACTGGAAGACATCAACCAACCAAGGATGACAAGGTGGAGTTTCTCATGAATCTGAACCAATCAGTGCTGGGGCAAATGCCAATTAGAATGTGGTTCTTCTACAAGTATTTGGTCAAACATGGAGAGGATGAGAATGTCCCTCACCTTGAAAAGGATTTGTTTTTCTACATTGAAGTTCAGAAATTCAAGGTATGTGTGTATGTGTGTTGCCAAAACCAGTGTTGACACTGAAGTGTTATCAGAATCTTGTGGTCTGAAATTTTGTGTAAAGGCTTGACTGAATTTTGTACATAAGACTTAACTGAGGTTAAGCAGGTAAAAAACATTTGACATTTTTGCCTGCCGTAAATCTACTCAATCTTGAATCATTTGCACCTCAATGGGGAGCACAAAGATTTTCATTTTTGTAAGGGAACAAAATAAACCAAGTAACTGAAACAAAAGATTTTTTCTCTTCCAGGAGATGAGTCATGCATACTCTGATGAAGAATTATTAAGGCGAAAGGTGGCAACTTTAAATCTGTGTTACCTGGAATCCAACATTCCCCCTGCACTGCAGGTAATACATATACTTCGTTTAAAACACAAAGAAATGCTTTAAATACAAAACTTCTATTTCTTCTAATATGTGGTAAGAATAACCTAACTTTTTATATGAATAAACTGAATTACTAAATATAATTGAAAAATGGTTAAGTAGAAGGCTAATACAATTTCTTGGTGAAAACAATGTTACATGAAAGTTGTATTATATATTACAGAATCAATTAGATTAGGAAATTTTGTAGTTCATCTGGCACCGGATGATTTTCACATTTGTTTTCCAGATTGGAATTTCAAATGAAGTTCATCAGAAGACCTTACGTGCAGTGCAACGTTACCTAGGCAACAAGGAAATGGTGTCAGCCATATTTGATGAAGCCCAGTATCATGTCTTCAAGGAATTGTTGCCATGGTGGGCAGGGTTTATCAGGCAGTACACTCCACCTGCAGATGAGAAGAAAAGACCATGTATGTGATGAGTTTAGAAATTTCATGTACAATTTTTCTTTAAAAAGATGTAAGACATACGGCTTGTTATAGATTTTTTCCTACAAATTCTTTTAAATGTAATTAAGAATTACTAATAACTTTTTTGCATTTTAGTGACCAAACAACAAAAAATGTTCAAAAAGCGTTTGGAAATGTTTGAGCAAATGGATGTGCCAAAAACCCAGTTTGTTCTTCCTCACATTCCTCAAGGCAGTGTGCAGGCTTTCTCTTTCTCCCTCAGTGATGGAGTCAAATGGAGGGTAAGCAAATTTCTTTTACAGCCTTTTATGTGCTCTAATACATATATGTACCATGTTATGGACAGTATAGGTATATGGTACCAGTTCTGAAAATAGTTAAATGTTTCTTGTCCAGCATGGCTGACTGCATGATTTTTCATTGTCTTCATTACTGGGTGACCTGCTGTAATTGGAGTAATGAAATTTTATTTTGCTGCATGTACATGGTGTTGGATCTATGCTTTACCTTTCTTCTAGACTGTTCATCATATGTGTAAAGTTCTGTTCTTTAATAAGTGGAATAAAAGCATAAGAGGACTTTTCCTAAATTTTCAAATGTATATTATATGTATATCATTTTGCATGGAAGTATTTTCATACTTCAGTCTGTGGTTAACATCTGTATTACTTGGTTCACACTAGCAAATTGAAAATTTTGTTTTCCTTGGGCCAAAATAATTTTATAATTTTGATTTTATTAATCAATTTTCAAAATTTTAAAATATTGCATGCAAGTGTGAACGAATGTAACATCAATTTGCATGGTATGATTATGTTTTTTTATTATTAATTTATTTATTAATTGCCACTCTGTGTAGCCTCCAAATGGAAACTGGGATGATGATTAAGTGTGTGCATGGTGAGACTTGGGTGCCTCCAGTTCTGCCACTATTACTTTCCAATTTATATATGTTACAGTACAATTTATTGGAATGTGCATGAAGTAGCTAGGTCTTTTGAAATATGAATGATGTTTGTGTGTTTTGTGTCTGTTTTATTGCCATTTTTTAGATATGGATATCCTTGATAAATGTTGAACTATGCTTATTTGTTTATTTCAGACCAGTTTACCATTACTCTTTCTTTAATCTATATATAGATATAGATATACATAATGATATATATATATAGCAGTTAGTTTTTGTTTTCCTAGAAGTTGGCTTGAACAGGTAGACAAAGGTATATGCATATGGTTCTCTGGTAACTTTTATAGCTAGAGCTTTTGTTGTTGTTGTTGGTTTTGTATTATATTTGTGTCCTTTCTGCAGCCATCAGCATGGCATAATTTGCTGGATGATCATCAGAACTTTCATAAGCCAGTTTCCATACCAGCTAGGCAGGATTATTTTTCTTCCACTGTCAATAAGCTGATGTCAGTGGTTAAATTGAAAAAGCCTGCCAACAAGTCATGTGAGTAATAAAGCAATGGAAGCACCAGTGGAAATGTGTATGGCACAGTAGACAGTAAAAATAATAGCTGTCTTTTCTGTTGTAGCAAGTGACAAAACCATATCGGTGGTGAGGTCAAGTTACATGTAACTGTTTATGGTAACTTGTTCTAAATCTCTAATACAATCAGGTATTCATCAAAAATTAAAGTAGTGGATTAAATTTTCGCAGATCTCAAATCCATGTTTATATTTATTTGAAGTAAGAATACTTAAAAAGGAGCTTTGGAATTTCAAGGTTTTCAGACTGCCCTCTACTCTGTCTTGACTGAACCATAGTATGGTGTTGCACTTGTAACCTGTATGTACTACTATAGTACATGTATCTTTTGCATGTTTAACTTTTATTCTTTTTTGCACTAGGTTATTTGATCATAGTTGATTTAGCATTTTTTTTTTAATTTAAATTTTTTGCCAGTACACTTTCTTGTCCAAAATATGTGGTGCAGAACGAGCCAAGAATTGACCACCCAGGGCAAATACATGACACCAGATGGCAGTGCTGTTCAGCATTCTTGGTTCCTTTTCCTTCAGCATTGGCAAGTCCATATAGAGGAGCATCTTGTATGGCATAATCAGAATGAACTAGTCTTTCATGTTAGATAGTTCCTCCTTTTCATTGACTTTCTTCTCTCCAGAAAAATGTATCCTATGAAGAGCAAATGTTGATTGGCCTTGGTCCTGCCATTCATGTGACATCAGCGGTAAGATGATGACCATGTTGTCATCTAGTTACCATCATCACAGTTATGATTGTTCTTGCAAATCACTGTATAACTCATCAGTTCACCCTTTAAGTACTGACTTTCAGTAATTTGGCATTGACATTTAGTACTTCATCAGTAAATGAATGAAAATTTATGAAAACTTTACATGTTTGTGTATTCTGTCACCATTTATCCTTCAGAATTTAACAACATGCCAAATTGTTGAAATTGTTAATACTGCATGTATGTTCAGGAGATGTACATGGAAAATGGCAATAGAAATATGAAACAGTTTTGGAAATAATCTAAAATAATAATTGTCCCATTTCTGTTTGTTTGAATATCATACTTAAGATTTCATTTTATTGGATTTTCTCAACTGAATTTTAAAACCAAGACAGCATCTCTGAACATACAAGGGAACACAGTACATAATTAAGGGTGGCAATTAACTTCACTTGCTTTAAGCTTGTGCCAGTCACCAGTGAAATATATATGTTCAACACACATGTATACTCACAGTTGTGATCTCAGATATTATACATCTATACATTGTATTCAAAGAACATAAAACGGTACTATTTTTCAAGAAAGGGATGTGATGTCTTTATTTCTTTGGATATGAGCCACATGGGATCTATTTTGAAAAACTTCTAAAAAAAGTGTGACTACCTGTTATTATATTTAAAGTTTAATCAAAATATATTTCAGGTACTCTTTTAAAATTCATTTTATGATCCTTGACATACAAAAATACCCTGTATGTTTAAACAAATAACCTTGGACAAAATCTTTCTGTCATGAAATAAAGCTGAAATATTAAAGCTCACAATTACCCATTTCTTTATAATTACTTTCTCTGATTAATAAAATATTTAGTGATACAGTTGTCAAACAATCTTGTTTTTAAGCTGCTTCTGTTATTCATAATGTCACAAATGCAAGAAGTTTTAACTATTATTGTTGTCTTTTTGAAACCATGAAATGAAGATGACAAATGTTAACTTTTGGTGTATATTATACATGTTTTATTGTATTCACTGTTTTTTTTTTCTTACAGTTTGTCCTTTCAGGTGTTTTATCTTGTGAATAGATTGCACACATGTACAGCTCTTCATGTATTGATATATCACTTTTGCTTATTAATTCCACATTACATTACTCAATAAACTGTGTCCAATTACTAATCATTTTTTTTGTTCATATCCAGGTTAAAAAAAAAACAAATGCACTAACTTGGAAATGTTGCACATATTAACAGTTTACAAAAATGGAATCCAGGAAGCACATACATGTCAATTTCAGGATAGTGAAAAAGAATGGAATACATGTGCTTCATAATGCTATCCATATACCCTGAATTTCAGGGTGCTCATTCAGTGATGTTGATATTCAAGAAAGTCACTGTGAGTGCTCCCAAACTCAGGGTGTAAACATGAGGTCAAAGATGAAATTCTGCTCTCAGAGATGGACGGTAAAAAATGTTTACTGGATTCCCTTTTTTTTAACTTTTATATTTGATTGTGTATTTGTGCACTCTGTTGGAATATTGGGACACAGTTTGGTTGCAGGGTGCTAACAAGTTTGCATGAATTTGTGGTATAGGGTATGTTTTACATTTGTGGCACCTATTGGCACTCATAGCACCTGTTTTACCCAAATAATGTTGTGCTGATAGATAAATACATGTTTGTTTCAGGTATATTGCATCCATTTCATATATATATATATATATATATATATATATATATATATATATATATATATATATATATATATATATATTATT